CAGGCGGGAGGTGTCATCCCGCCTGTTCATGTTGTGTGGATATTTTTCGGTTTGTGCAGAATGCTGTCTTGATGTTGTGTTTGCAGAGGATATATATAATGGTGTTAACTTGGTTAGAACTGATTTGATCACCTTTGTATCATTGTCATTTAGTGCTGGTTATCACATAGTTTCTTAGATAGAGATAAAAGTTTTTCACCAAACAAACTGAATCTCTGTTTGTATGCAACGTGAACGCCGGAACGTGACATAGGAATTTCAGCAGACCAAACCAGGTGCTGTCAACTTCTGGCCCAACTCTGCATGAAAACTGAAAGTTTTAAATCCCCTTTCCTCTCCAGCTGTATTTTTTTTTCCTGCATCCCAGCGCAGCCATTTCTGGGTCAGCCTCAATCCAAAACACGAAGCTCTTAATGAAAAGGGCGATTAAAAGCCTCTTTTAATCATCATCAGCCTTGATGGATTTTGTGGCCCTGCTGGACTTGGAAAGGGAAGGAGCTGGAATCAGATTAAAAACTGACAGGTGTTTAGCGGGCTGATGGAGAGAAGTGATCAGATCCAAGTGCAAAAAAATAATCTTTGCTTCTAGTTCCACGTTTCTCCACCTTGGCAATTTTTAAGGTGTGTGGATTTCAAACTCATGAAGCATGGCTGGCTGGGGAATTCTGGGAGTTGAAGTCCACACAAACCTTAAAAGTTACCAAGATTGAAAAACATTGTTCTAGTGTTAATCAGAATAGGGAGACTCAGTGGTGAAGGCACTGAGCTTGTTGATCAAAAGATCGGAAGTTCAGCGGTTCACATCCCTAGCGCCGCAGAATGGAGGGAGCTCCCGTGACTTGTCCCAGCTTCTGCCAACCTAGCAATTCGAAAGCACATTAAAAAATGCAAGTAGAAAAATAGGGACCGCCTTTGGTCGTGAGTGTGCTTGCTTTAGTTGGGTTTGTCAATTGGGATGTTGACACTTTATAGAAGCCAGTCTGGGAGAGGGTGGGCGATGGAGTGGACTTACGGTTGCGAGTGGGCGGTTTCGTAGCGCTCAAAGGCATGGGATAGGTCATGCTTGTTACTCATGTAGCAATGCAGGCACAGGTCGTAATCGAAGCAGACTTTGCACTTCCATCGCATTCCACGAATGCCGTGTTTCTTGCAACAATCGCAGATGATGTTAGGGTGGCGGACCCCTACGGGAAGAGTCAAAACGTACTTTGGGTTACCACAGAGTCAAAGGTAGAAAGATGCTTAAGTGGGAAAGGTTAAAAAAGTGGGAAAGGATAAAAAAGGTTAATAATATTGGCAATCGTTCACACCAATAGGACAAGACCAAACCATATGAATGATAGAGTGTCTTATGAATGATAGGACGAGACCAAACCATATGAATTGTAGGACAAGATGATTTTGGGCTGCCCTGAGAAACTAACTACAGGTAGTCCTCGACTTATGACAGTTCATTTAGTAACCATTCAAAGTTACAACAGCTCTGGAAAAAGTGACTTATGGCCATTATTCACAATTACGCCTGTTGTGCCATATCCATTGTCATGTGAACAAAATTCAGAAGCTTGGCAACTGACTCACACTTATGTCTGTTGCAGTGCCCCCGGGCCATGTGATCCCCTTTTGCGACCTTCTGACCAGCAAAGTCAATGGCGAAGCCTGATTCATTTTAGAAACGTATTCCTAATTTAAGAGCTGCAGCGATTTACTTAACACATGTGGCAAGAAAGGTCGTAAAATGGGGCAACATTCACTTAAGAAACGTCTCGCTTAGCCCACAGAAATGCTGGGCTCAATTGTGGTCTACCTATGCAGGTAAATGCAGCATTGCCAACGATGCACTGCGTGAAAGGAATTGGCAAAATCTCAGACAAGAACTGGATGTAAAAATAGCCCCCGTCAGAGCCTTCCCCAGACTCCAGGACTGGCCCATGTTCCTCCCCAACTTCCTCACTGTCCAAATCTGCTGCCAGCTCCACTGGCGAGCCGCATCACTGTGCATCCTTGATTTATCGGTTCAGTTGAGAGGATTTACAGGAAGAGCTGAGAAACCTCCCAGAGTAACTCATAATTCAGGCTTGAAGCAGGTAGGAGGGGATGAAGGGAAAGTACCTATTTGTGCATTATCGTAGAGCAGAAGATCATATGCTCCCTGGAATCCGGTCCGGTAATTGGTGCGAGTCCCGTGATCCCACTGGACCACCACGGTTTTATCGGGGGTCGCTGGGCTGCCCTGCCGGCCAATCTCCACCACCGTCCCCACGTTGCCCTCGCCATTGTCCTGGTTTCCCCACCTCCAGTCAGCCCCACGGACCACCCGCATGCCAATCTGCATGCTCGCGTAGGGGTCCAAGTCCATCGCTGGGCCGGGGAGCCTCAGCTTGGCCACTGGCGGGCGGATGCACTCTGTAGAGAAGAAAACATGGACGATACCTAGAAAAGTTGGGGGGTGGAAAAAAAATTGTTATTGTCTCTTCTTTTCTGCAGAGATGGAAAGCAGCCTTTATTTTAGCCTCATGGCAACCCTGAAGGACAGACCAGGCTGAGAGGGTGATTAAGCCTGAGCCTGAAGTTGAATCCAGATTTTGACAGCCCAATTATAACCACAATAGCAATAGCACTTGAGACTTATATACCGCTTCACGGTGCTTCCCAGCCCTCTCTAAGTGGTTTGCAGCCTCCATCCCCCAACAATTTGGGTCCTCTTCTTACCCAGTCAACCTGGAGCCGGTCAAGTTCGAACTGCTGAAATTGGGCAGAGTCAAGCCTGCAATGCTGCATTCTAAGTACTGCACCAGCAGAGCTTCTAAAGGTGCTAAGCCGTCTTCACCATCTACCCACTGCTCTTCCCCTGCCCTGGTGAGATTTGAACTGCCAAAATTGCAGGCAGTCGGCAGGCAGCAGAAGTAGCCTGCAGTACTGCACTCTAACCACTGCGCCACCGTGGCTCCTTCTGGTTCTCAGAATGACATTGCACTTAAACCAAGCATTGTTAAATAAGATTATAAGTAAAGATTGGTAACAAATAAAACAACTAAGATCATCCAGTCTTACCTATTCTGCTCAGAGCCATGAGCTAAATGAAGGTGTCCCCAATGAATCTATGGGCCAACTCTACTCCCAACTCATCTAGGAATCACAGCATCAAGCCTGGCTTGATGGTGGCTTATATTCTGTTTGGGTAGAACATTTGCAAATGAAGAATGAATTCTAGTTTCCCACCACCTGTAAACTTTGGGCTTTGCCAGAAAAAGATTCCCATCCTAACATGGTCTCACAGCCAGGCATGTCCACTGTGATGCTTCAAAAGGGGAAATAAAAATTACACAGAAATTATTTTAGCTTCATCTTCTCTCATTTTTTTTTTTCATTTTTTTTTTCAAATCTGGCCTAAAATTAGACCGGGTTCTAAAATTATTTCAACCGGAGGGCACCTTGCCTCTTCCGCATTACACCAAGTGTAAAAATAACTCGGCATAAGTAGTGGCTTCACATACCCACTCCGTCACATTTCAGAAGTCAGAGGTAAGCTGGGCCGAATGCCTTCAGCAGGGTTTTTTTCTTCTGAAATGCAAGAGCTGGAGTCATAAATTAAAAACAACGCCTTATAACTTCTTCGCTTCAAGGACCCACTTTTGATAAAAATAGACGGAGAGAAAGGTCACACACAATGTTTGATTTCAAAAGGAAACACACACACACACACACAAAAACCCCTCCAAGAATGTCTTACAATTTTGCTTAAAGCAGGATTTGGCTTCTGGCTTTGGCGCTCGGTCTGAAAATCAAGAGGCGCAGGTGTTTTTCTACCGTGGCACTAAAAAAAAAAAGCATTTGATAAACAAAATATCTGGGATTTATTAGGTGAAATAAAAACCCCAGCAGTTTAGCCAAGCAGGATTAATTTTCTGCAGATTGCCAGGCTCCTCTGCTCAGTGTGTTAAGGTAAACCCCCAAGCAGAAGTAATGAGATACACCGCATGTTGATTATATGTTGTTGGCATTGTATGTCAACAATACCCCAACATCAAAGTAAAACTGTGGAGAGCAGCATGTTGTGCCGGCAGGAGAGTCTGACAGTGAGAAGGTTGGGGAGGAGCATGGGCCAGTCCTGGAGGCTGGGGGAGGCTCGGACGAGGGCTCTGCATCGGAGGCAGAGAGGGNATGTTTTGAACTTTCTTAAGGCAGCGGGAGCTACAAAGCTCTTCCAAGAGGGGAGAGGGCAACCCATGATCCTCTGGGCAATACTTTGACCCTCTGGAGGACATGGTTCAACTGGTGTTAAATTTAGATCGATGCAAGGAAAGGAAGAAAAAAAAGGGGGGGTTAAGGGAAGGGAGCTTACCGCTGTCATCTCGTCCGTCCATTCTCCGTGACCCGCTTGCAGCTGCTTCACTGTTTCCATGTCGTCAATCACCCTCACGACATCGTCCAGCCAGAAAGTGTTGAGCTGCAAGGGAGAAGGAAGGAAGGCAGATTGTTGTTTACATTTCCTTGCTTGGGACTTGGGACAGAGGCAATCAAATAGCAAAGAGCACTTAGCCCTTAGACTTATATACCGCTTCACGGTGCCTTTACAGCCCTCTCTAAGCGGTTGACAAGAGTCAGCCTCTTGCCCCCGACAATCTGGGTCCTCATTTGACTCACCTTGGAAGGAGGAAGGCTGAGTCCACCTTGAGCCGAACTGATGGCAGCTGGTAGCCAGCAGCCAGCAGAAGTAGCCTGCAGTACTGCCCTCTGACCACTGCCCGTTTTTTTCTTAAACAGATGAATTCCTTAAACCAGGGGCGTCAAACTTAAGGCAGATCCGCCCCGCGGGGTGCTTAGAACCGGCCTGCCGGGCCACTTTAGAAACAGCGAAGGACCGGCCCGTGGTACCTCTGCCGGCAAAAGCAGAGCTTGAGAGGGCCGAGGGCAGCCCTCCCGAGCTCCGTTATCGCTGGCAGAGAGTTGCAGGAGGCCGTCGCAGCTGAAAATGGAACTCGGGAGGCCATTTTCGCTGATATAGCGATTGGGTTGATACAGCTGCTCCCCGACACGAATGATGTTGAGCTGGCCATGCCCACCCCAGCCCCCCAAGGTCACACACAACCCTGATGCGGCCCTCAATGAAATTGAGTTTGCCACCCCTGCTCCAAACAGATGACGTCTCTAAACCGTGGGCATGAGATTTCCTGGTGGTCTTCTTTCCCAGGGCTTAGCATTTTGAGATCGACCAAGATAGGTTAGGAGCTGCCTCCTGGCTGGGTTATTTTTTACTAGCTATGATATTCAAATCAGGTTTCTCTTCTACCCAAAGAGTTGTATTTTGAAGAGTACAGGAAGCCCTCGACTTACGGCCACAATCGAGCCCAAAGTTTCCTTTGCTAAAGCGAGGCAGTTGTCAGGTGAGTGTGTTGCCCCGTTTTACAACCTTTCTTGCAGGAAGGGAATTAGTGCAGTTGTGCAGTTAGTTGTATGGTTGTTAAGTGAATCTGTCTTCCCCACTGACTTTGCTCGTCCGAAGGTCGCAAAAGGGGGTCACACGATTCCGAGATGCTGCAATCCGTCATAAGTATGAGTTGGCAAGCATCTGAAGGTTGACCACATGACCATGGGGATGCTACAGTAGTCATTGAATGTGAAAAATGGTCCTCTTTCCCAGTGTTGTTATAACTTTGATTGGTCACTAAGTGAATGGCTGTAAGTTGAGAAACTACCTGTAATACGTATTCCATTAAAGGGCAGTAAATTCTTTATTTAACTTAAATCATAGTTATAGTGGGAGGTGGAGTGGTGTGGTGGCCTAGAGGTGGAGCTCTCGCCTCACAATCAGGGGGCTGTGAGTTCGATCCTAGGTAGAGGCAAATATTTCTCTCTGGGCACAATGAGAATCTATCTGCTGAAAAAACTCCGCTCTGGTGACAGGGACGGCATCCGGCTAATGAACACTCTGCTAGCTCCATTCAGTTGCCCAAGCTTCACCCCGCTAGGGATTATGGGGTCATTAAAAGATGATGATGATGATAGTTATAGTGGGAGGAATTGGAAATTCCTTTCTAGGAATAGCCAATATATTTCATCCATTGGAAAAAATTTCCTTTTTCTCCTGGGTCAGCCCACATTCTGAATTTTAGAATAAATCCGCCAAGAGAATGAACTTTACCCCACCTTGGTTAGAGCTCCAGGATGAAACGTCCAGCGAGTGTCATTGTTGAATTGGACTCTCACGTCTCCTCGATCTGTGATCCTATGCACTGTTCCTGTCTGGCCAATGAACTTTGGAAGGA